CGTACGATCCACCGGTGGGTCGTATTGTCGTGAATGTGTTCAAAAAATATGTTAAAATCTATCTCTCGCGAAAGGGTTACTGAAATGAATTGCTTGCAAAATGACATCTTTGGATTTTTCAGACTGTTGCCTCTCTAGAAGACGAACATAAACGCTTGAAAAAACAACTTGAAGCTACCCATGAAGAGCGGGTGCAGGCAATTCTCAATGAAAAGAAGAGAACGGTAGGGATTATTTCAATTTACTTAGTAAAATAAAATTTATTGTCTTTGTTCCAGGCAACACATGATTATCGTCAAGCACTTGCCATGCATGACAAATCTGCAAACAAACATCACGTATTGAAGACACTCAAGGTACGGTTTGCATTTAGAAAATGGCGGGAAAATTAGCTCCAAGTCTGCAATTTCAGACTTACATCCGATCCGAGGAGAAGGATCGTATTCACACCATCAATCGATATCGCCATCTTCTACGTGTCGATCAAGCCGAAGCTGCAGCATTCAAGCCTACTGTATTGCACAGGCTAAGGTATGTACTCTTCCATTGGGGACCCAGAGACTGTAGGCTACCGTATCCCATGCTGTTTTGAGAAGCGAGAGTGCATTAGTGTGCTATAATCTGCAGGGATCTTTATCTTCTGATCTTTATCTGCGAAATCGCGCTCTGGCGAAACTATGCGCGCTACATCCGTGCTTCGGGTTACGGTAGCATACTGTAGCGGCCCGTTAGCAGCTCATTTCTTATCGCTCGACAGCTGTAAAGTTTATCTCTCTAGGTACATCGACCTACGCATCAATGGCACATTGGCCATGCTTCGTGATTTCCCAGACCTTGAAAGTCAGGTTCGCCCAATTGCTGGTGAGTACTTTATTATTTCATGGTCCTTAACTTTCTATTTTTTTTAATTTTTAGTCGCCTACTGGTCTGATTTCCGACGAGAGAACACACCAGAGCTGTCCGATGCTGCAATTGATGCTTTGAACTCGCTCGATAGCGATGCTAAGAACAAGAAATTAGTGGACCTCTACAAGGTCAGAAAAACAGTTCCGGCGAAATCAAAAGTTTTCCGTGCCAGCGCCGTGCTAGCGTCCTTTTGGCACTGTTGGTAGGTCAATGAGGGTCGCTTCCACGCAGCCGCGGGCACGACGCTGGCACTACGTTGGCACGAAAGCAACTCTAAACTTGATCCTATCTTCTGCAAAATTATCAAAAATTATCTGTTTAGGAGGCGTACGAAAAACTTCACCCTACCGCCAAGCTGGACGTAAAAGCGCCTCCAACAGCTTCGCCATCTACGACAACAACTCGTGGAACTCAGACTACTGAACCAACCAAGGTGAGAATTTTTTAATCTGAGACTTTTTCATATAGCTTATGCCTTTATTTTTCAGCTTCTCTCCGAGGATTCTCATGATTCTGAGGAAGATGATGATGAATACTATGAGGACGAAGATGATGAGGAGGTCAAGAAGAATCCTATTGTGAAGAAGCCTAAGGTAGGTAGCATGACCTAACCTTAAATATACTTGTAAAAATAACCCTTTAGATCATCGAAATCCAGCGAAAAGAGGAAGTAAAGAAGGCTGAGGCACCTAAATTGGTTGAAAAGTCCGTTCAGACTGATCCACTTCCAACACCTGACGATTCTGACTCAGATGAAAGCGATGAGGATGAGGTAAGCCAATTCGATTTAGCTGAATTTAATCCAGTAACAAAATGTGAAATTTCAGGATTCTATCAAGGAGCTTCGCGTAGATATCGAGCCAATAATTGAAGAGAAACCAGCATATTACCGCCAAGAAAAATTAGTACAAAATCAGGTCCGTGATTTAATTCATTAAAAATTGTTCGGCTCAGTTCTGACTCTGGTTTTTTGAGCTAGAAACAGACTACTTCTAGAGAAATGGGAAAATGTATAGTTTCAGAAATCCAGCTATAGTGAAAGCGGTATTCTTTCATCATCTCAGGCTGTGTTCATGGTCGGAGCTGTAGCAATCGCATCCCTGACCATGTTAGTAGCAGCTATTGTGCGACGTCGTCGAGCACATCACGGGTTTATCGAGGTATTTTTTAATCATTCGTGCAGGGACCCGCAGGCCTGCAGAAAGTTCAAGTGTATGTTTAAGGTCGACGTGTACACTCCGGAGGAGCGTCATGTAGCTGGTATGCAGGTGAACGGCTATGAAAACCCGACATACTCCTTCTTCGACAGCAAAGCATAAAATTCTCTCTTACTCTGTCTCATTGAGATGCTCTTGTGTTTCTACTTTATTACCGATTTGCACCACATCTCTCGTCATTTCTCTTACATTAATGATCATTCCCCTTATTTTTGATAGTGTTCGTGTGTGAGAGAAATTCTTTCGGCGGCGCGCGTGTTCACTCCCTTTAAACTGCGTCTTCTGGTCTATGAAGACGTCGTCGAGGACGCGCGTCTCAGTTGTTTCCTCAGCTCGCTCGCTAGCCCATGCCTGATCGTGTGACAGTTGTCCGGACCCGAGCACTCGTTTTTTCTCATCATATTTATCAATTATCGCCCAGCGATCTGTCATTATACTAGCCACAATCCTGTCCCAAATACTCCCCCGCCCCGCCCCCAGCACGAGTCATACGGTTCGCGACACGCCCCCATGTCGCAC